CCCCCCCCCCCTTACAGAACCTGCTTCTTCGATGAAGTTCGCTTTTCACTGAGAACTGCATCTTTCAGATACTTCGTATTGTTCAAGGATGGTGCGTTGTTTGGCTTCAAGTCGAAACCAGAAATCGATCAGCCGCTTCCCGATCCACTGAATGATTTCACCGTCAAGGATGCACAGGTGAGCTTGCTGCCCTCGCCCGTTCGACTTAATTTTGAGGCTAAATTACTCACGCGTTTGTTTCTGGAACGAGTAGCGGCAACAGATATCATTCCTCTGGTGCCGTGATGGACGTGTGTGTTTGTTTAGCTGATGAAAGTGGAGAGGCCGAAGCCGAACACATTTCTGGTGCGCTGCCTGCAGTGGACCACCGTTATCGAGCGCATGTTCAACGCCGAGAGCCCAGAGATACGCGAAACTTGGATCAATGTCATCAAGGTTTCGTTTAACTGATCAGGGGCCTGCATGAAGTATCTACTGGAATTTGTATCTACAGAAGTATCTACTGAAATTTTTGTTGCCGCTAAATACGCATGCACTTCCTTGGGCCAAGTCAGTGCAGCACTTGGCGTCTATGAAACATGTCCCCTCCAACATAGCGAAATGGGGTACTGTACTGATGAATCCCGCCCCATTTCGCACCGACTCAGCCGTCTGTGTCTACAGTTCAGGGATGAAACACAGACGTTGCCAACTCTAAATACCGGTTTGCGTGCCTGAGATACCTAAATGCCTTTTTTTTTTGGAGTTTGACCACATATTAAAATTCGACTGTTTTCCTTTGTTGGTCTACACTATGACCAAATTACACATGTGGTTGTAAGAAACGTCTTACCCCGTCTTGCTTTAACCTTTAAAAACTGCTTGATTTCATTATTTTCATAAGCAGCTTAGTATCATTCTAAATTTTCCAGTACTTGTTCTTGATTCTTTCTGGAGGGCCAGCACTGGCATATCATATATTTCACATATTTTGATTGATTGATTGTTTGAAGAGTGTGTCGGAGTCGCTGAAGGAATCGACGGAATCTCAGTCGATGGACACGGAGATGAGCGAGGAACCGGCTGGTGTGCTCTCCGAAGTGAATCGTCAGCCATCGATGACAGTAGCAGCAGCAGCACCAACAGCACCAGCAACAGCAGCACCAGCAGCAGCAGCAGCAGCAGCAACAACAACAACCGTCCCTCCTCATCATACACACAATTTGGCCCCAAATTCGGGAAGCGAAGATATGATGAGCATGGCAGATGCTGCGGAAGCGGCACGACGCGATAAAATTGTTTGTTGCTTTTGCATAGTTTGAACGAAAAACTTGGCTGCGCACTGACGACGCAGTGATATTTTTTTTGCAGACACTGGAAGACTTTGAATTCCTCAAAGTGCTCGGAAAAGGCACATTTGGCAAAGTGATACTATCCAGAGAAAGGAGAACAAAGAAGCTGTACGCGATCAAAATACTCAAAAAGGAAGTGATCATTCAGAAGGTTCTGATTTTATGCTGCCTGCCTGTTTTCAATCTCGCAAAAGTCTCTAGCCCACATGAGAGGTTGAGACACTGGAAAGTACAGAAGCAGTAGCAGCAGCCAGGCTTGCTTCTGAGGCTTTGAGGCTCATTGCCACAAAGGGTTTGTAAAGGACTGGTTTCCCCGCCAGCGCTATGGAATCACCAGCATCATTTCTTACGTTCTAAAGAAAGCGCCTGCACAAATTTATCAGGATTTTCTGTTTGGAGGTTTATGTTTGCTTGCAGGACGAGGTTGAACATACTCTGACGGAGAACCGAGTGTTGCAGAGATGCAAGCATCCTTTCCTAACTGTTAGTTGCTTTTCGTATTTTTCATTCAAATTGCAAGGCGCTGCTTCATTGGCCTTATAGTGTTCTGGCTTTATATTGTCCATTTGCTTGTGTTTCTCTGCTTGGGGTTTCCATTCCTTCCGAAAGTGAGTTAATTTTGAAGGCTCTACCCCCGTGCACCCGATCCTTGTGTTTTGTTCTTTCTTCCGTACATTTTTTCCCCTTTAAAACTTTAGCCCTTTCCGCCGGTGCATGCATTCATCCATCGGGGAGGGGGATGTTTAGTTCCACACAAATCTATTTGCTTTGAATTGGGAATGCAGTTATTACTCCGGTCACATGCGCAGGTTAGCGTTTTTTTTTTTTTTTTTGCTGACTTCACTTGAGCATTACTGTTATTTAATGAAGACGGCTATACAAATTCATCAAAATTTACTGTTGCTGCTTCTCATGCCTCGCTGATTGCATTATCACAGAACCGTTCCACTTGCTCTTGTTTTTTTACTGTTACAGACCTGTGTCTGTGGTAGTTTGAGCTGGCCAAAAGTTGGCCCTTTTTTTGTGCTTTTCAAAAAAGTCATGCGAATTACCAGATGAAGTGGAGCGGCGTATTTTTCATGCTAATTTTGATTTCTCCTGTTTAGTTCTGTTTTGACTAGATGCTCACCGTCTTTTCTTTTAACAGCCTCAATAGCTATCTTTATTCTAATAAGTTTCTGAACATTTCATTAGTAACACGAAC